GGTTTAAGGGTTTCTCCACACAATTGGTTCCATGGATAAATGCTTCCGCAGCCCTCTCCACTTGAAGCTAGCTTGGCATCGCATAAACAACATGAGGAGGCAAACGTCGTCCTGGTGCAAAGCTTCAAACTGGCTCTTCTCAGCAAAGTCCTGTGGCGGAATGGCGGAATCTTTGTAGCGAAGCGTTTGATGCATTCACTGGCTGAGCATTGGCACCCTGCGGCAGTCGTTCAAAGCCGCATGGACTTCGGGCAGTTCCTGACCCCAAGGGCAGCAAGCTGTAAGCGCCAACGGAATTATGCGACAATGCCTCAGAGCTTTTTCATTGAATATATTAAGAAGAACAAGAAACATCCGCTATGGCATGAAGTCAGCCATGCCTTGCGGAGCTCGGACAGGGAGCTGCGGAGCTCGGACAGGGAGCTGTGGGATTCAGCCGCGCCCTGCAAAATCGCGATTATGTTGGGGATGCACATGTAAACATCTACATCTAATATCATCTAATAATGGAGAATCATATGAAACATCAAATGGAGGATGAAACGTGAACTACTTTAGGCACCCTGAGCTCGCCAACAGCAAGTGCTCGCTCCCGGCCTGCTGCGCCTCATTCACGCAGGACTGGAGATCTGTTAATGCACCCTGTAGAGACGCCAGGTCCTGCGGGGCAACATGCCGTGACAAAAACATGATACGCTCTGATACCGACCACCATCCATTTTGAAACCTAAGCTACTGATCACAGTGTTTAGTTGCGTTGCAATGCATTGCGAGGCAAACTTTGCTCAAGCACGTCAGTGACTCGCTGAAGCAATCGAGCTCCAAGCAGTGGTCCTCGAAGGCTCTGCGCGACTCTTGGCGGATTGAGCTTGTGGAATCATGTGCGGCAGCAATTTCCTGGAGCGGAAGCTCAAACAACTGCCTTGGGTTCCCAAAGTTGGGTGAACTACTCTGCGGTCAGGCCCCAAAGAACTGGTGAAATATGCTGGACCACCCACCCAGCTTTGCGTGCACTCCTTCTGCAAGCTGGCCATATGACAGCGTGTCTCGGAAGCTTCCTGCTAGAGAGCAGGGAAGCAAGATGAAGCAAGCAAGGTCCGATGCAGAATCATGCTGGAATCCTGCTGGACGTCGCGGACGGTGCCCTGCAAATCCTTCAAGTCCTGACAGTGCAAGAGCGTGTTGTGGCCGCTGCGGGGCTGATTGTTATGGCCGTCTGAACCCTTTCCCGCGTGTCACCTTGGAAAGGTCTTTGGATTCGCTTCTCCCAAAAGAAGTCTCCTGGCATGGAGGGAGATACAACTTGATGTGGCGTGCCCTACAGCTCCTAGCAGCCCTAGCATAGAATCCTTTCTTACGTTCCTGTGCCAGCAAGCTTGTCCAGCATTGCTGCCTGCTGTAAGTTGGCCACATGGCTCTGCGTTGCAGTGAGGTCCTGGCGACGCCATCCGAAAACATGAGGCTGAGAAGGCTCACACTTGAAGCGTTGAGGGTGTGACCTTCCGCAACTCCTTTGCCGTGCCCTGGGCGGACGCCGCTGCCTTGAAGCTTCTCCACTCTGTGAATGCTATCTGCTATCCCGTCTCAAAGTAACGACCTAGCACAGGACCGCCTTCAAGAGCTCAGTCACGTGGCCCTGCAAGGCCGGCATTTCCTCAACGGCGCAGCAACTTTCATTTGCAAACGTCTCAATTCATGCAGGATTAGCATGGGAAAGCATTTGCCTTGAGCAGGTCTGCAGTCTGAGTCTTGGTTTGGGAGGCTTCCTGTCGACTCCATGCTGCACATGGTACATGGCTCTTAGCGTCGACCCGGCCAGGGTCTCCTTCCGCAGATCGTTCACCTGCTCTTGCACCGCCGAAGCATCCTGCGCGACATCACAACTTCGTTGCCACCATCGACCAATGCTCTTTCACCTTCAACTTCACTTGACTTGCTAGGGTTGGGAACAAGCTCCTTCCGCGATTCGTTCAGCTGAGCACGCAGTGCACACAACTCCTCGTAGGCCGGCACGCATGCACACCATGAGCACATGTCTTTTGTCGTCCAGTGGTCTGGTATGAGTAATGGTGTGCACAGCCTTCGACATTGGAACGAGTTGAGCGTAAATGTACATGGTGTGCCAGCGATGGACCGGTCCTTCTGGAAGCCGCCCTGCTCCTTCTGGAAGCTGGTCTGCTCCTTGTGGAAGCTGGTCTGATGGCTGCGAAGCTCCAACAACTCCTGTTCATCCGGGGCTGCAAGAGGAAAGGATATCTCTACTCTTTACTGACTCTGGCCTTCAGCAGTTTGAAAGGAGGACTTAGCGCAGGTCTAGTTCGCATGGCGTCCTTGCGCATTTCGTCAACGGCAGTTTGTCTCTCCGAGAGCTCCTGAGTCGCGTTACGTCTTGTGGCCGTTGAAGTATTCTTACTGATTGCTTCTAGAAGAGCGGTCATGCTGCTACCCTCAACTCCGTTACGCTCTGTTCAACAGTAGAATGACACGTAGGATGGGCAAAAACGGCCTGCAACCGAACTAGCCCAGGTCCTTGCGCAAGTCCGCGTGCTCCCTCTGCAGGTCACTTCGAAGGTCGCCCTGCTCCTTCCGCACCTGGAAATGGGTATCCGGCCCTTTGTCATCTCAACTTCTGCTCTCAACATGCGTAAGTTCAACAGAGCCGTACATAAATCAAAGCAACTCCAAAGAATCTAAACGTGTTCAGTGGAAGCAAAGCCCGCCCGGACACAACCCCCTCACCACCGCCCTCGTACTGGGCCTTGCTGATGTCAAGGGACAGCTCGGAGCGCAACGCCTTCACTTCTGAGCGTTGCGACTCCTGTTGAAGATTTGATTTCCACATATTTCCACCCTCACGTTGCTTGCTGACTGAACTGGGGCATGGAAACAGGACACCAGGAATTTGTCCTGCTCAGATCTTTGGGAAGCCATGCTGGTTCGAGCAAGGTCCAACTCGGAACGCAATGAGCCCAGCTCCGTTGCATGCTGCTCTGAGCTGGACCTCGCCAAGGAGTCAGCCGTTGCATGTCATGCCCCTGCCCGAGTGGCCGCGACTGCTTCTACCTGCAGCTTCGGATGCAAATGATTTTAGACAAGTTGCTGCAGCGTTTTGAGAAAAGCGCGGCTCGACTCCGTCTCCGATTTCAGTGCTGCCAAATCTGAGAATTGGCCATCCGCATCCGAGCGGAATGAGGCCATGTCTGATCTGAAGCAGTTGAGATCACTGCGCAAGCCGTTGAGGTCACTTCGCAGCCCATTGAGATCTGTCCGTTGGGAACCCAGCTCTGCACGGAGCTCTGCACGTAGTGTGCCGAGGTCTGAGCCCTGTGACCCGAAGTCGGTCCGCAGCGAACCCATGTCGGAGCGACAGGAATCCAGCTCGCTTCGCAAGGACGACACGTCTGAGCGCACCGGACTCAACTCCGAGCGCAAAGAACTCACCTCGCTCCTCTGTGTGTCCACGTCCGATCTCAAGGTGGTGCAGTCGGATTTCTGAGTGTCCAGGTCTTTGCGGACAGCGCTCAACTCTGACCTTAACGTTCCGAGATGGCAGTCCCAGGTGGACCGCATGGTCGAGAACTCCGATCGGAATGCAGATGCCTGCCAGCAGCGTCAGCCCTCTTACCCCCAAGATCCGGCCCTTCATATTGCTTTCTGCATGCATCCAGGAAGCCCGTGACACTTCCTCACGCACAGTCCTGATCCCAATGTCAGTCCAGCAGATTGTAGAATCACCCCCAGATCAACTTCGCCAAACGTCTACTTGTGCTTTCAGGAATGCATTGGGACGTTGACAGGATCTCTTGGACTCTAGACCTTTGATCTCACCTCGAACACCTGCCTAAAGCTGTGCACACCCTGTCGTGCGCCAAATAAGTGACACTGCCCCCAAGCTCCTAATGGTGCTTCAAAATGCCTGGAGGCGTAGCAATTTCAAACTATGCTGGGTCGGCATTGTCATTTATGGCTGCCAGGCCGCTTCATTTCACTCTGGACGCCTTCACGTAGCTTCACTATGTCAGCACCTTGCTGATCGCGCCTGCGGACAAACTGCGGGCGTGCAAGATTAGCACATTGCGTGTCCTTGGGCGCTGGCAGCTTCCAGCAGCTGGCATCCACAAAGTCTCGCCTTGAGATGCGCAATGGCGCGGAGAAAGCCAACGCATGCCAACAACAGAATCTTTGCAAGCCACACACCTTCAGAAACTACGCCATGTTGCATCTTTGTGGTGTCAGATGCCTGCGTTTCACGGAGCGCCTTCCGAGACAAGACTCAGTAAGGGGCTCTGGGCTTGCCTAACCGCAAACCTTTTCCCTCCAATGGCCTGCAGCTCGCTTGCAATGCTGTCGCGGATACTGACAATTTCGCTTGTCAGGTGCGCGACCTGCAAAGATGCTCAGGGTGCGAGTCTCCCATCCAGAGGTTTCGCGACATCCCGCGCATCTCACGACGTTGAACTGCAGACTGGAAGCAGATGGTTTGGGATCTTCATGAGATCTCTTCAGGCATGGATGGCATCATACAACCCATGCGCCAGTGTCATGAGTTGTTGCCGCCTCTTCTGCGATCCGTTGCTGGGCGGCAGACGCAAAGTCCTCACACTGTCGCAGCACTGTGGGTTTAATGAACGGATGCAGACAACAGACGCCATGTCCTGCATGTTGCCACGCAGCTTCTTCAACTCGAGGCCTCGACAATTGCAGCCCTGCTGTTGACTTCACGAACTCAATCGCTGCTCCTTGCCAGTATCAACGCCTCTGACCGCCCCGTCTGGTACGCCTACCCTGAGACCCGTGCTGAACTCATTGGCCTCCTCGTTGCGCTGCCTGGCACATGTAGAGGCGCACTTAAAATGATGATGATGAGGAGGAGGAGCAAGCCCTCTTTGCGCGCGAATCTTTTTGGGACGGGCTCTCCATCTCGTATTGCAGCATGGCAGGAAACCCTGTACATCTGTGCGAAGTCTGGCTTCACAAAGGCATTCTGTGTGCCACAGAACTCACACCACGACGACTCCCTCAGAGCTGGTCACCTGCTTTGCAAAATGGCGGGGTTCTTACATAAGCTGCATGTGGAAGACCTAATTCGATGAGGTTGGAGTATCTGAGTATCTTGGATTTAAGGACTGTGCAAAGGTTACGACTGACAGGCGTGCTGTGGCAGGCGGCTTTAAGGCGACGCGGCTTCAAAACAAGCGGTATCACACGCCTCCGCACTGGAGTAGCATACGCAGCTGCCCTTGAAGGTGACCCCGACGCACTCTGAGTTCAGCAACTGCGCTTCGCAGTCCTTGAACCAAGAAGCCAGCTCAACATGCGCATCCGTTCCTATGAAAAGCTTCTTCAGGACAGCAGCGGTGACTGTCCTAAATGCTATGCTATCGCATCCATGCATGACAAACTGATCAGCAAACAGACGACGAAGGTGGGTTGGAAGTGTGAAGCCTAAGTCCCCGCTGTCCCCGCCCATCAATGGACGAACTCGAAGCTGTGGAAGAAGAGTGGCGGTCTCTTGCCACTTCCTCACGATGGTTAAAACATCCCACATCCCGTTTGCCCCAAATGTGCATGTCATGCCATTTGGTCGGCCAAGCGATGCTTCTATTCTTGCAAAGCTGCCGTGCAATCGTGCTGTTGGTGAGATGCCTCGGCATACCGGCAGCGTGTGACAAGATGACCGGCACAATTATGTGAATGCTCACATCTGCTTTGTAACCTGAGTAATCCTGCACACATCATGCCTCTGTAATACCTGCAAAACGGGCGTTACAAGGCCTCAGAGGTCAGCTCCTGATGCTGCCAAAGAACTTATGGCTTCGCACCGCCGCGACCTGCTCTAAGCATGACATGGCTTCAGCAAGTTGAGTCGCCTCATTTGGGTCCAAAACTGCTTCATCTCTATAAGGTGTCTTAACAGTAAATTCTTCGATGAAGAGACACAAAAATGCTGCTCTCTCGACTCAATTGGCCTAGTCGGATCTAGGCAAGGTTATCAGTGAATTGGGCCTTTGACATGGTACGCTCGGCAATTCATGCGATGAAACTCAGCTGTGACAGCTGGCAGCCAGCATGTAGCGGATGTCCTCTGCCCACATCTGCTTGAACTTGTCGGGAACATCACGGTCCAAGGGCAAGCTTGCCTTTGCATCATGCAGAATGCAGATGCAGGGAGCAGCCTACCTCGAAGGCCCCAACTCTACAAACTCTGACGGCCAGCTGCAGATGCAGAGGTCTGAGCCAGGACTAGAGGGTCGATGATGCGCTGGTTCACTTTGAAGTCCCTCAGTAGTCGCTAGTCCGCTAGTTGTCATAGGACTCAGGTAGCTCATGAGCTGCTGCAGTAACGTCTGAACGCAACCTAGGGGTGTGACGTGCGCCCTGTCCTTGGCTGTGTTCCACCGTCTTGCAATCGAGTGCACGCTGCGCTGAACGTCTGCCATGCTGTCCAAGACACAACAACTCGAAATCAAAGCCCTGAGTCTGTTCCACCTTAATTATGTATTTTCCAATGTGTCCGACGACAAGGGCAGCATGTCGCAAGGCAACGGCATAATCCGGATAATCTGACTGCCATCTGAAGTGAAACTCTAAGGCGTGAACGATGGCCTTGTCATTTGGGCCAAGCGCCCAAACCAAGACCCAACCACGGCTCCTTCATGTTAGTTTCCCGAGGCACTTTTTGAATTTGGCGTCGCGTGGTTCCATCTACAGTTTCCCTCCACTCCTTGCCCAACTCTGCAATCTGGTCCCCAAATCCGTTCCGAAGAGCGCAGGGAAGGCGCCAATGAGAAAGCGAATCTGGTATGCCAAGGGAACATCCAACTGAATTGGAAAAGATTCTTGCTCACATCACTGACGCAAGAATGATCTTTGGATGCCATGGGATTCGAATGTCTGGCTCGCATTCGAATGACCATCGCCAGGTTGCTTCGTAAGGCTGGGATATTCCCAACTACTCAGACCCAACTACTCCGAGTTGGAACGCTACAGTACCAAGTGCAAGCTCTCGCCAAGTGCAGTTCGGCGGCTGCCGCGGGGTATTCTAGCTGACCTGTGCAGGCAAGGCACACGGAGCCATGCATCCAACCCTCATCATGAGAACGTCCCTACCGTTGGTAAAGATGCCTCATGACCCTGAATTCCAAAAACTTTAGGGATCCTGAATGCAATACCATGGTATACCAAGCTCATGCAGGATTTCTAGTAGGACAGGGCCTATGAGAGCCCCCTCCAGGTAGTTCAGGAAGGAGCCGCCGCGAACAGGATGAGCACCCCATGGGCTCTCCAGCCTTGAAAATACTGTGCAGTTGACGACCCAAATCATTCAGGCATTATACAATGAAGAGAGAATGGAAACCACTACAGGGCTTAGGGAATGCAATAGAACATGGAGACACCTAGCCTATTGTAGGGATCATATAGGGTTTAGGGGACTATTACCCCAAGAATTGACAATCAAGTCGTAAAGCAAATGCAAAATGGGGCTATATCCCTAATATTGAGCCCCTAAGAAAGTATCTCCATACATCATTTATCAATGCGCGGGGGGCATTGGGGGGCTGAGTGTCAGCCTGTACGACAAATCCGACCCGCTTTCAAATGACACACTGACCTGGGCTTGGAGCATGATTGGCAACTATGGTCACTAATATTGTTATTACTGCCATTGCTACTATGCTGTAGTTCTACTATGACAATATAACTGCTATTAATGATTACTAATATTCTTATTGCTGTCATTTTTCTTTATCATCATTGCTTTTTGCTATTAAGTATTCACTTCAAAGTCCTCGCATACCTCCCAAGACATTATTCCTTTGAGATAAGGCACCTCGGGAAGGCAGTGCTTAGGACTCCCAAGTTGTTCCAGAAGTCCTGCAGTGCTGGTTGTATGCCAGTGGTGCTGCTGCAACGGAAGGTTCTATAGGGGTTATACAGGGGCCATAACGATTATATAAGGGCCATGGGACTATTGACCCAAATAATAGAGAGGGTAAGAAGAATTTTGCTAGCTGCCCCCTGATTGTCGCAAAGCAAAAGCTTCAAGAACGAGAGTCTGCACAATTTGTTCTTGTACCTACTCAGCTATCACAACCCAGCTTCCACTGCATGTTACATGGTCTTCTCCATTTGATGCTCAATTGTAGTGTTAATGTCCCCATTGAACCCCTATAGAATCCTGTGGAATGTAATCCCTATGGCCCCTACATACTCCACATTACTCCACATATAACCCTTCAAAGCACTCCCTCTTGCCTTGTTGGCCAGGAAAAGATGCTTGAAGTACTGGAGAGTGCCCAATTGCTTGAAGGCCGTTATAGCCTAAGGCTGGTGATACAAGAAGACTCGGGTCACACGCATGTCATACATGCCCATCTTCCTGGTTCCTCAGGCAAGGGCCAGTATGACCCTGGAGCTTTGGACAAGTTTCGGTTGTAAGAGATTACTGCCAGGCAACACTGCAGTTGTGCGGAGGCGCCCAGGCGAAGGATTCATGATCAAGGCCTCATGGAATCATTCCGGTCACTCAAGTGATACGCCCCTGCCTTTGGCTCACAGGCAGCCATGCGCGCTTGACCCTGTGACTTGCTGCACGAGGCACAGCCCATTTCATACAAACCCGTGTCGATTGGAGATACCAGCGTGCTTTTGGCGATGTATTTGCTTGCAAAGATGGCAGACACATCGCCTGAATCATGAATCCCAAGCTGAACATGACAAGCTCGACAGCTCTGGCTCCAGCAGCTCTCTCTGTTCACTGGCCAAGGCACCATAGATGGGGCTTCCCATGTCAATCATGTTCAAGTTGACCTCATCAGCCAGCTTGCTGGAATGCCCGCATGAGAATCCCGAGGTTCGTGTGCCACACGGGCATGTGAGCTAGAGTCTAAGCCTCTAGTATCCCCCTTCATACCCCATGATACTCTCTCTATAAACCCCCTTTAAGGAGTTCAGACTAGAGCGCACACGGCAACCATTTTTTGCCTGACCCGTTATAACATAGTAGTTTGCACTTTCTTTCCATCGTCCCTATATGACCTCAGCAAATTTTCATCTAGAACTCCTAGTAAGAACCCCTATGAAGGGCCCTATATTGCTCCCCTATGAAGCCCCCTTCAGTCGTGTTTTAGACCCTAAGCCCTTGCAACAATAAACCCTCTATAACCCCCCTTTAAGGAGTTCAGACTATACTTCCCATGTAGACCCCAAGCCATACTACATTATACCCCTATATAACCCCTCTATTATCCCATAATACCTCATGTAGAACCCTATATCATGCTATATTATACCCCTATATAATCCTCTATAATCGCATAATAGGTCATGTAGAACCAACCCTAAAACCTAAACCCTAAACCTTAAACCCAACTCCAGCCAAGACACCATTGAGTACACAGGCCGCTCCCCAGCTTCAGCGAGCGACGATGGTGCTCCGGCCATCTTGAATGGCTTCATGCCATACCTTGGGTGTAGAATAAGACCTGATAATAACAGTAATAATACAAATAAGAGTAATGATCAGAATGATAACAGTAGTAATAACACGCATCATAATAACAGTAATTATTTGTAGTACTCAACAGCTTACAAGCTTCCAGGGTCGCGTGAAGCTTCTGATTTGACAACCTGAATCCTACTTGTTGGGCTACTTGTTGCTAGACACCCTGTCAGCTCGTCGAGGCAGAGCCTGCATGCCTACAGAGTCTACCTACATTGCCTACAGCATATGTGCAAGCGAAGCCACTCGAATGTCTCCTCAGCTAGCAGTGCGGAAGTGCTAGGCGGCTGCAAGCAGACTTTCTCAAACTCATGCTGCTCTCTCCACGTTTCAGGTGCTGCAAACAGTGCAACATTTTGTCATAAAAGCCTGCTGCAACAACTGGCCCTGATGGAAAAGAAACGTTTGGAGCAAGCAAAGCAAGCAGGGAACACCAAATCACCCACCTTTGCGCTTGCCAAGTTTGGAAATTTCGCATGTTAACATACCTCCCGCACAGGGACGTCGCGGTTCTCCGCAGAGGCTTTGCAGCGGATACTTTCAAGAAGCACGAAGTCTGCAGCACCCAACTGCTTGAAATTGACATGAAAAGACTACATAGTCGAGCAGCAAACATCTGGGATTTGTTCCGGCCAGCTTGATCGGATTGTGCTTATTCGAGAGGTCTATCGAGGCTGTTGCTCTAACGTGAATGCAGTGCACAAGCTTAGTTTTTATAACAGCTTCTGAACAAGTTCTTCTCCTCTCCAATTAAAGCGTGCGTATTTTGTCTGGTCAGAAGGGCAGGCTGCGTTTCTGTGGTCCTTTCACCAGCAATCAGGCTGCTTGTGCGGTCAATGCAAGTTCTGCATGGAATGTCAACAATTGATGGCACTGAAACAATTGCAGGTCTCTGCATGATCTTGGTAGATGAACGATTCGGTGTTGTTCTGCACTGCCTCAGAAGACGATGCCAAGCAGACTGTCAAGCAATGCGATCAGGAATGCCGCCCCGAAGCATAGCCATGACATTTGCCATCGGCAACATAGGAAGCTATGTTGAGTGCTGCGTACGGAGGACAGTCCACTGGCCTTGGAATGCAGAACGCAAGCATCTACTCAAAGGGAGGTGGGTGCAACCCCTGCAACAATGCGGTGACCATGCTGCATGGGGTTTACAAAAGGTGCTGGATGATGTTGGCCAAAATCTGCGCACAAATTCACAAAAAATCTCCGTGTTGGTGGGGTGGGAGCTTCTTTATCGTGAATTAAGCAAAGCCGCTTCTGCGCAACTGGCACAGCTTCAAGCTTCGGCATCCGCCTGAATTTCGTCGCCTTTGTGCTGCCTTCTTCCCAGATGCTGTTCATAATCTTTCCTGCTGGCTGTCATGGGAACTGAAGATGCCGCGTTGCTACACTTGGTTCTTCAGGCCGGCCTTCTTTGTAATCATAGCGAGTTGTAAAATTAACCCCCTGCTCCAGCACGGCATAGCCTGGCACTGGCCAACACTGAGAGGGCATGTGAATGTCTTTGTGCGGGTGCAATGGTTATCAGCATCGAAAAGCAGTTAAACTGCATGCGTTTGACAAGCTTCAGCTGTGTCCAGAGTGTTTGGGAACACGCAAGTTTCCTGAGATGAGCTTTGCAGCTTATGCGGTCAAACGAGGCTAGGATTTCAGGGTTCTCGCAAATTAGCAACAACGACGCTTTCTTTAGTAAGCGAGGCAGGAGAGCATTGCCCAAGCGAATACTCGATCGGCGCGGTCTTGTTACCGGAGCACCCACCAAGCCACATCTGCATGGACACCACTCCCCTGGCAAGGGCCGCAGCCCAGCAAAAACGGTATCAGCGCTACGTCCTACGCATGCCTTGATCGACACACATGAGCCGCACAACCCCATCGCGCTGGCCTTGATTCATTGACGGTGAGACTCATGTAGCTGGCCGTCACATTGTGCCAAACACTCTGTGGCTCTGTGGCGTGCAGAAGTACCTGGGAGTTGCCGCAACGGCATCCAGGCCAGCACCAATCAGCTGCTGGTTTCATCCAAGCCGCGGCTTGCCAGTCATTCCTGGCAAGCTCAATGTTGAGGTGGTGGCATGCCTCTGCGCTTGCTAAGGTCTGCCAGGGCACAGGAAGAACGAGCCCTTCATGCCAAAGTCAATGGACATTCCAGCTTGGTCAGGAAACATCTTGGCTGGGTCCTTAGCGCAGAGATAAGGGAACCTTAATTGAGATCCCAATATAGTATAATCCTTACTATTGGGACCCCCAAAAGGGCATACCCAATTTTAGGAAAACTCCCTGCTGATTTCAGACAGGATGCCTGATATGCTGGGAAGCCAGATGCAACCTCCGCCACCTGCAGCTCTGAAATGAGGGAGATTCCCCAAATTAGATGATTTTTAGGGGTGTATAGGGAGGGGCAGATAAATATGTGTATATATATATAGGGATATGTAGGGCTTAGACTTTTCTCAAAATGAAGGGCTCCCATAGAAAGGATTATCATATCTTATCATATTTCGGGGTCTAGATTGGGGCCCCCCCTATTTAGGGAAATTCCCATAACTCAATACAGCGTCTCAAAGAGTCGAAGGGCAAACACCAGATAAGGGTCCTGCCTGAACCTGCTTGGCCAGGATATCCAAGAGCTCTTGGGCGGGTAGTGTTGCCAAGGATGGACAGCAGGCAGAGAGATTCCTGCCTGGGCATGGGAAAATTTGGCCTTACCACCTTTGGTCCATGCCAGCCTCTCTTAATCTCCAGAGCTTAGCTTAGCTCTAAGATGGAACCCACCATACGAATCCTGCACCCGGAGGCTGGGCAGCTAAGTTTCTGACGGAAGTCCTCTGAATCAAACAAGGCCAAGAGCTTCGGCTCCGCGGCCTCAACTAAGGATGGCTCTCAGAAAGTATAATATACTTATAGCATACTGTAATCTACTAAATCATATACTATACTATACTATACTATATTAGTATTCTGTAGTATACAGTAATATCCCATTATCCCTATATTTAAAAGCTCGAAACCAGGCTGTGATTGGGGATTAAATCTGCCTTCGACTGCTCTGCAGCGCTCTGCTCCACCTTTCTGAAAACTTGCTTCTGCCACTCCGTCCTGAGCGTGGCAACTTAGTCCTGCCCAAGCCTGTCTACCTTGTTCTGTGCACGACAACACGAACATGCATTGCTGCGCTCATCCCTGCATTTTTCAAGAGCTGTTCCTCAGAGCAAACGGGCAATCAATTGGCAATGGCTAGCCGAGCTGCAGCACTGAGCCAAATGCACTTGTGATAGGAAGCAGCCTGAGCATGAGCATGACAAATTCAACCTGCGAACCCAGTCATGCAACCACCCCCCGCGCTCAAAACAGAACTGCTCTAAGCTTTTCTAAGCTAAGGAGCAAAAGCACCAAGCGCAGTAGGTAGAACCGCGCCATGGCTGAAAACTGGTAGTGACGTAAATCTGCCAAAGTGGCATAGACCTTGGCCTACAACTCTGAAATGGTACTGATACTGGCTATTCTTGGCGTGATTTCGCACCAGTTGGGTGCTGTGAGCTACTGCACTCCACTGCAGCAGCCAATTGGCTTGAACTGCCGGCTTCACGGCAAAACATGAGGCGGACCTTTCTTTGCAAGCTTATCACGACTTTTTCCATCCAAGTGAATGCCCATTAGCTTAGAACCATGGATGCCAACCGGTTTGCTTCAAAATAACGTTGCACTTGCTGGCATCCCCGAAGCCGCTGGGCCCACAATTTGGCGAAGGAACATAATGGGAGGGGTTGCGCCTCTCCGTCCACAGATATGCGTCCAGTGCGGCTCCCATGACTGCTCGCAGGTTCCTGGACGGAGCCAAAACCTAGACACGGACTCATTGACATTTGAGCCATAGTCTAAACTCCTAGTATCCCCCTTAATATACCCTACAATAGTCCCCTATATAATCCCCTATATAACCCCCCTTTAAGGAGATTAGACTATAGCTCATTTGGGCCACTGAGGAGGGCACGGGGTATCACCATTGGTGCCGGCAGAAAGGAAGGATCGACTCGGGCTCTGCATGGCCAGGGACTACTTTGCCAGCTTTGTGCTGAGCTCACAAGCACGAATTTTGGGATGGTTCTCATGTCAGAACATACTATAGGAGCTTTGTGCAAAATGCTTGGCATCCTGAGAAAGATGCGTCACTTATGGCTGGCTGGCAGAATCTGGCACCCCCAAGTTCTAGCACAAAGGCTGCGTCCGCCAACACGAGGAACCACTGACTCAAGTGCCAAAAAAGCCTGCCTTCAGCACATAAAATCCAAAGCATGCAGCACTCCACGCCAATTTTGTGGCAGAGCGACACACAAACGTCACCGCAAGATGCTTCCCCAGTGCTGTTGGCAGTTTTGTCGGGCGCCGCTTGTCGCGACCACTCTGCCATTTGCTTAAGTCAAGAGCAACCCAGCCTGCCATGAATTGCATTGTTTAATGTCAGTCTTCGTTGCACATGTAAGGCGAAAGAACATGTCATGTGGCATGTGGCCTCCGTTAACTTATGCTCATTGTGCAAGACCTGTTCAACGTGTGCGGCTGAAATGGGTATTCCCCTGCATACTGCCATGGCAGCATGCACCCCGAGCGCGAGAAAAGACGGTAAGGTTTCATTGATTGCTCTGCAACGCGCGCAACTTCGTAGTCTTTTATCCGTTTACTGAGGTGCATTGGCAAACTTAGCATATGCATAGCTAGGACAATCTCGCGCCACTTCTGGTTGCCTGTGAGCAATCGCAGGATCGCTTCAAACGGAAGCGTAAAGACCAGCGGGATAAGACATTCGGTAGTTTCCTTGAAAAGGGGGACCCCAATATGCTATAGACCCCAAACAAGATGATGCTGTATTATTCGGGCCCCCAAACATCCACCCCTAATTTAGGGAAACCCAAAATTTCAAATAAGCTGATGCGTTCGGCTCAAACGATGCTCACGCTGTGCATCTTGTGCCGGAGCCGCTTGGTCCCATTGCCCTGAAACTGTCGCTCTTGGTGGATCCCTGCATCCATCCTTGACTTGCTGTTGCTTAATGGGGAGTGGCGAAGTGAAGGCAGGGAATGCTCTGGGAGTGGGGATTATCTAGGCATCATTATAAGGATCCACTCCCCCACTCTCCCTTGAAAACGAGCAAGTAGAGAGGAGCACTTCAAATCAAACAAGTCACACGTCTGTTGGGTGCTTCGCAGTTGCAGTCCAGTTGCCGTGTCGGCGAATATCATCATGCACAGGATGAGGCTTTGTCCACGAGTGACGATCCGAGTGATGATCACCTTCGGATGCTTCCCAAGAGCCCGCGAGAAAACATGGCAAGCTGATGAGTCATCGTACGGCAAACGGATGGAACGATGCAAGGCTGAATTTGCACGTTTTGGGTTTGGGTGTTCCCGTAAGACTTGCTGAGCTTTATCGCCGCCAACACATGACAAGTACTGGACTGCCGTTGGATCCCAAGCACGGAATCGTCCAAGCAGATCTGTGCGATGAATCGGTAAATCCTTGGCTGAGCTGCCCTTATCAGCCTTATCAGAAATGCTTGCAATCTCTTCCAGCCATGGTCATATACAACATACACACCAAGACATGTAGATTGCGATCTCGCATGAACTCCTCAAGACATTGGGGGCACATCATCGGGTTCAGCTGGAGTCAGTCCGCCTGCATGCAGCCTTGCCTCTGGACTAAAGCTGCTGGCCATTGTGCTAGCTACGGAGGCCCCGCGCAGTGGAAGCATGGAGTCTTGCATGGTCTCCAGCTCCAGCTTCATCCTTCAAGGCCAAGCTTGGGAAAGGCTAATGCTTCAACAAAGGGCTCCAGCCAATCATGCAGAGTAAGGCACGGCAAGGTCAGCTCGCAAAAGCAGGCAATGCTGCCACCCGCCTGTGATTTTCCTGTCGTTGTGCTTCGAGCAGCGAGGTCAGCTCAAGTACCTGGAAGGGCACATTCCTGCTAATCAGCCTCTTATCGGTGCCAATGTCATGTGCGTATCAGCCTGGCTGCCACCTACTTGCTGGGTAATTTGTGTACCGTAGAGTGGTAGCGGCTTTCCCCATGATAGCAGGCGCCCGGTACAATGGGAAACTCAAGTAGAAGCACCATGCTACCCAGCCCCTACCTCTTAAGCTTGAACCTCCGTCTAGTAGCTGACAAAAAATGGATCTATAGCTGTGCACATATGCATGGACGAAAATGTATTGCGGTGTCTGGAATCTAATATAACCTGCCATGATATACGATAATATGTACGAGAATATACCACAAACAAACTGTAATAATACTACAATATACTATAATATACCATGATATACTCTACTCTCATTGACCTTGTCATCTGCGCTGAGAAGGCCAGGCCCGCCAACCACGGTGCCTGCACATCTTTAGGGTTCTTTATCTTATGGTATTATATGGTATTATTACAGTTTGTTTGTGGTATATTATAGTATATTATGGCATATTATAATATATCATGGTAGGTTATATTAGATATCTGAGGGATCCCAGTAAGATACGCACTCCTAGGTGTTCTCCCTATTACCCCCCAACAACTACAAGGGTCCCCTGCTCTGAAAGACCTAGATAGAACACCACTAATACCTGCCCCCATGGATGACCTTTCCGTAATAGCACCATGTCGCGAAGATGCCATAGCTTTTGGCATTCATTACTATACTGGCAACAGCGTCTTCATTTCAAAAGAGGACGCCTGTTGCAGGGAATGAGGGGCAACCCTACATGTTGGGTTTGAAGCTTCCCGTCACCTCTAAGTACTCCAATTGTTCCTTGCCCGGATGCACTTGTCCCATTCATTATTAGCGGACGTGTCTCATTAGCAATAATGGTTAGCTCGAGATGCCGGCTCTATCATGCAGTGGCATCAAGAACCACAGGGCTACGATGACTGCATGTGCTGTGAACAAGCAAGCAAGCTCAAAGTAGAAGGGCTCCGCATTAATGTCTATGAGCCTTTTGATGCTTTGTGGCTGTCAAGGCAGGCACCCCGAACTTCCCCGGATTCCAAAGCCAGGCCCATGAGCTCCTCAAATTGGCGTCTAGATGTGACTGGTCTATTTTTGCCTCCAACACCTGACCTGGAGCTGATCACTGGTCATCCGTGACTCAACCTATTCACCCTGCCCCTCAATAAGAGTCCCTGGCCCGGGCCCTCAGAGCGGACCCACCATTCCAAACATAACCCCTATATAACCCATTATAGTAGTTTCCATTTTCTTTTCCATTATTCCAATGGAACCCCTATATATCCCCTATATAAACCCTATAATCCCTATACCCCTAATGCAAATCCATTCGCGGTTGCAGAGAGGAAGCCGAGGAGCTGGGCTCGCCCGCAGCTCTGCGGTGGCTCAAAACGTCGGAAGCTGTTGGGGAGTCGAACCGGCCTTGGGTCCACAGATGTCCAAAGGAAGTACACGTCTAAAAACGGCGAATAGATCACAGCTGTCAGGAGCATCTGCAACTAAACTTGATTGACAGACCGCTGTCTGGTAAGTATCTTGGAAGATTCTCCAGCTCTGCCGCCTCAGCCGGTCATTCAAGGTGTCAACAACCGCTGACATCAATACAGTTCCTAAGAAAAAGGCTCGAGGAGACCTCTTCGGTGATGGTGGAGCCTCACCCGCTGACTGGAAAAGCGGGTGACCTAGACAGCAGGGTGTTCCGAACCTCCGGCAAAGCTGTCTGGATGGCCACCGGAGGTGGCTGCCGAGGAAATAGGCCTGGTCCTGTCATGGCTCATTTTATCCTAAGCGAGTTCACTCAAGCACGACTGTCTTTCAGGTAAAGCGGAAACTTCTAGGCGACACCGATAGGTGGATTAGGAATCAGAGCATACTGGGTCCACGCTCGGGCTCACGCACTGACTTCAGCGGTACGTGCATGATGCTTGACTAGGCAGTCTTCCGGTCAGTCAAGAATCCCCAAGCTCTCGGTGAGTCTTTCCGGTCCTGATGCAGCGGCTCCGCCACTGACCATGTTGGCCTTTGAAGAGGCCTGTAGGGCCTTCTCTGCAGCAGCCAGGCGGAGCGCCTGGTGACATCTGCATGGACGTGTAGAGATACTATGTATCTGCTTCTAAAGTTGCAACGATGATCGGGGTTGGCAATGGGCTCACTTGCCGAGCCTGACGATCTGCACGCTGCGTCAACTCGGTGATGCTGCGGTCACGAGCATCCAACTCAGCCTTGCTATGTCATGCGTGGCGGCCACAGCAAACCATGCCAACTGAGCCTTCGCGCCTGCAGACTGATGATGGTCTCATCCCGCTCGTGCAATCGCTGCGTCAACGCAATCATGATGTCCTTGCTGTGCACAGTTGCGCAACTTGACTCAGCATCGCAAAAGACGTACGTGGCTGCTCAGTAGGATTTCTAGATGCCAGGTCGTCCAAGCAGCACGTTGCTTCAGAAGCAGCTGCTTGTATCGACCAACCTGTGCCTCATCATGCAAGGAAGCTGCCAAACTTAAAGCACATGACCTGCATACCTGGAAGCGGAGGTCCGGGTCTCTGACGAAAGGTTGACAGCCCTTCCCCGCCTTGTCCTCTTCCACGGCCGCACGCTCTCTAGCAACGGAAATGCTTGAAGACCGGCTTCCTCAGCGTTGCAAAACATTAGTCATTAGTCTAGTCAGCCCTGACTTCTACAGCCAGCCGCTGAATGCTTGACTGCGTGACACCTGAGTTTTGGCAGGATGCCTGCCAGGTCTGTCCGCAACGGTGTCATGGACTCAGTAGGCAGGCTGTATGGATCCTGAGCCAGGCCCTGGGCCAGCAACAGACCTATGACATCAAACAGATTTCAAAAAAGCTCAGGTAAGGCACTAGACATTCAGGAAGCTCCGAGGCGACACTCCTGCAGGTGAAGGACGGACACACCGGCCGGTTTTCAGACAGGCTGCAGCCTCCAGCTGCTTCACATTTCTCTCGTCAATCTACATTTTTTTATTGCTGGTTTGGCTCGTGGGTGATTGGAATGAGATAGCAAGGAGCGCGTGAGTCCTCTTGGCTTCCTGGCTGCGCTCCGCCAGTTCACTGCGCAAGCGACGAATTTCTGCCTCGTACCTGCACACGTAGCGGCTACAGGAAAAAAACCTGAGCGCAGAAGTCCTGAGTCTGCTGCTGCGCGCTTTATTGGACTGTCTAGGCCTCCGAGTCAAAGTTCTGGGATCCAGGTCTTCGTTTACCTGCCGAGTCAAGATGTTGGAGCGATGTTGCAGCATCATAGCTTCCTTCATCCTCCAGCTTCTGTCTGCATTAGGCCTAAACTAAACCCTAAACCTCTACACTCCTAAACCCTAAAATCGCTAAACAATTTAACCCCTTAAAGCCGCACACAACGCCTGGCCTGAGGGGTGGTCATGACCCCTTTGGCACGTTGGGCAAACTTGAGAGTCGACAAGGATTCCGCGAAAGCCTCTGCAGCTGGCGATACCATGGCCTAGGTGGGCCGGGAGCCTGGGTCAACTCTTGACTTCTGTTTTACCATAACCTAGTATATTATAGTACATTATATATCCTAGTTTAATATCTTGTAATGCATTGAAGTATAGTTTGCTGCCTTCAAACATCCATCAGCATCAACACATTCTTCAGCCAGGCTGCCATCATGGTGGTGCGGCAATTTCCCCCCAGCGAATCCTCCAACAGCCGTGTCAGCTTCGAGTCCCGGTATGGCACGTGGGGCCGGGAAACGTTTCCTCTCCGCTCTGTTAAAGCCGAGATGACATTGCCTTCAAAGCTGCTTGAGACCAAATCAAGGCAGGTGAGGCACCAAGCGACAGGCTCTAATATGACTCAGAACTCTCGAGATTTTCCATGATAAGGACAAAGATAGACAAATGCCAGTGTAGGAGAAGCTGCCCAGGGCGGAGAGGCTCTGGTTGATCTTTTTTGTCTCCTCCAGGCGCTGGCCGGTAGCTCCTCCCCAAGAAATTTCAAGATATTTCAGGCTTAATCCGCCTGAGTGTCGTTGAGACAGTTAGGCCTGTGAGGCGAGGCCGCTCCGAGCCAGCCAAGTCCACCAGGTTTAGGCGTCCTGTGCGCTTGCCTTCGAAGCTCTCGTGCTCAACTACCTCAGATTTGCTACGCAACAATCTTTCTGTGGCTGGTGCTTCTCAGCCCAAACAACATTCAGGACGGTTTGCTGGGCATGGCAGACACAATAGAAGGGTCCCAGCATGTCCCAGCCCTGCTGCAGCAGTGTGCGGTTTATTTCTCTGGAAACTTGCATGGCGCCAGAAGTCAATTGAACCCACAGCCCAGCAATAGAGCGCGCAGGAGTTGATATGAGACTGAGGAGGAGGCAATGATGAAAACGGCATGGGAGCGACTGGACGTGTCGTTCACGCCTGTCTGGGCTGTCGCCCTGGCTGTCGATCCATGCTCCATCAGTTTCTGCACCTCTCCAGGAGCAAAAAGCTGCAAAAACGATCTCAAGGCGGCTTAGCCGGTTTAGCCGCTAGAACAGGTGGTTGCCTCGTCTGGGCTTCGGCAAAGCCACTCCGACAAACCTTCCACGAAGACACCTCTCCTCCGATCTTCACCTGACATGACAAAGTTGCCCGCAGCCAATCATCTAGCGAGAAAAACCTACTCCTTGTAATTTCTCGAAATCAGATCTCAAAAGCCCAAGTGGCGAATCATCAAATGCGACCTATCCGGCTTCAGCAAGTCGAAAATGACTTCGTTGTAAATCTGGAGGTAGGAGGCTCGAACCTATTGCCCAAGGAAATCCGTTTACGTGCTCAGCTGACCACAGGTCGTAGGCATCCTGCCTGGAATGACCCTGGTGCAGTGTGGGCCTCTGCGATATGCTGGAAGATGTCCTGCCGGGGATTAGACAGAGTCACAAATTGGTAGTTTCCCAAAATGAGGGGACCTCAATATAGACTCCAATATACTATAATCCTTATTATGGGGGCCCCCCAAAAAGGTACCCCTAATTTGGGGAAACACTCCATCCTCCATGGAGCGAGGGATAATGCCATGCCCATTCTCGCCCTGACATCCCTCCATGGTGTAGGTCTTCCCAGTCCCAGTCGGGCCATAAGCCAAGACGGTGGCATTATACCCCTGCAGGGCTGAAATCACCTTGAGCGGATTGCGCAAGTGTTTTGACGGACTTGGAAGTCATGCGGCGCTCATGCAGTCGAGAGGCTGATGATCGGGCAGTGCTTGCATAAACCTCCGGCTGTGAAGCAACTTGGTCATACCTTAGTTTGTGATGGCCAAACAACAAGACGAATAATGAGAAGGACGGCCGTAAGCAACTTGCAGCCGTGTTTGTGTACGGCTAGTTACACGTGGTCAAATGTGAATGTGTGAGTGTTCACGACCTGGCTGGTCCCGCTTGCCCTGTCGCCCGCGTTCATCTCCGCAATTGTCTCGTACAGACAAATCCTTGGCCACTCAAGCCGCGATTCAATTGGAGTTCCCTGTAATGAGCAAATACTAGTCTGCCAGAGGCTTCGACCAGGGTGTCCTGAAGTTCAGACGCTAGATTTCCGTGAGGTTGCTATAGGTTGCTCTAGGACCCACTGTCGCATGCCCGTTCCTCCGCAAGGATATCATGCATCTGTCCATGTTGCAGTCTGTGCAGGCCAGGTTTCTGAGAATCTCCCGGCACCGACCTGGGTGAGAGTTGCTGAGAGCTCTAGTCTTGGGTAGGTGGCAGGTGAAGATAGCTCAACAGTAACCAGGTGGCACCACATGCTGCCACACCGGCGATGAAAGCTCACGATCGAGCGGTGGGCGAACGCGGATCACGACTCGAAAGTACCTTGGCGCACTATCAGTGCAAGCCCACCTCAAAGCAAAATGCAATTAAGATGCCACAGCTGATTATAATCCCAGTTTCCATTTCATTTTCCATTTTCTATTCCATTTGATTCTCCATTATTGGGATAATATTGGGTACCATACCCTAAATCGTAAACCAACATATATGGGATGATTCAATCCTCCTCCTTGTCTTTACTGGGTTGCTGTTAAACTTAAATAAAGTTACTACATTGTGGAAACCCTATTATTTACTATATATACACAAACCCTATTATTTACTATATATACACATTATGGTAACTTAATTTAAGTTCCTTAACAGCAACCCAGTTTAAGGGCGTGACTCGTCTGATTGGTCCAAGAGCTCAGCCTGGCCGGCACACTTCCCTAGACAAAGCCTTGACATGCAAAAGTCTCAACATCCTGTGGGTGGGTTATATTGGGGTAATATTGGGGATATATTAGGGTTATATTGGGGATAATGGAAAAGAAAATGGAAACTACTATAATGGGTTATATGGGTGGTTGTCAAAATTATGGTCCCTTTTTGGGCATCCTAAATATTAGGGGTCGTATTATAATAGGGACCCAAAAACGGACCATAATTTTGACAACCACCCATATATTCATTGTAGTAGTTGCCATTATCCTTTCCATTCCCTCCTTCCTAGCTAGCTTCCCAAAGGCCCTTAGGGTTAAGGGCTT